GTTTTGTGGATGTAACAACAGGTTTATAACTGAGTTAAACTACTGTAAGAAGGGAGTTAATAATGAGTAATGACTAGGTAAGATCAATGTTTCCATCAAGGCAACATAAAATCATTGCCTGCCCTTTTTAGGTGGTTTTTGTGTTGGCCAACTATTATCAAAAAATCAAATATTTGAAGAAGGAGCCAGCCGGTACTTGAGAAACCACCTTTGATCCAATGTATCACAAGATGATAAAAAACTGGAGGAATACCCGGAAGAGTTGCTTGAATTTGAGGCCTGGGTGATGGCCACTTTGCTTCAACCAGTGTTCTGTCTCAGATTGTTTGCTCATTGCTGGCCAGAAAAAGAACAAGATGCAAAATCACTTCTGGAGAACATTTCAACAAAAATGAAGAAGAGCCAGGTTGATATTGAAGAATTAGAGAATGTAAGTGGTGGGTTCCTTTGAGGAGGATGAGAATCCACTCAATGGAAATTTACTGGAATTTTCCGGTGGCTCCAAGTTGTAGATGGGCTCTGATCTGATCCAAGGTGTTCACACCCAGCTGCTTATAAGTTTTGAGATGTTCAGGATTGAGGTTCCTAACAGTGATTTTTTGATGTGAGAGGAGTCAAGCTAACTTGAAGTAGTGATTTTTTGATATATCTTCAAGCTCAAGAGGAATAGTATAATGAAAAGGATGGTTTTGTTATCTTCCCTTCTGAAAATCTAGCAAGCAATAGAGTTCGAGGAGTACAACTTATATATGCTATCTAAAACAGGTGACTAGATATAAGCATATGTACAAGATGCTAATAATAAAATAATGAGAAATCGAAGACTAAATGAAAGTAAGAGTGATAAAAGATGCAGAGGTTGTCAAGGTGGCCAGTGTAGGGGTAACTGGTTTGAGCTTGCCAGCTGACAGAGAAGGACACTCCAAAAGTCAATAAAAATAATAGGGGGTATCAAATATGACCAAATTTACCATTATGTAATTGATGGGTTTTCAAAAATCCACACTTTTCAAAACATGTTTTTTCCCCACAAGTAACCTCTTAGGACCCATTAATGAAGAAATATTTTTTTCATAATTGACTGGTTTCTAATCGTGGATTTGTTATATTAATATATTTGAATTTTGTAATGCTCTCAATTCTACAGAAAGCAAAGAGCTAGAGGTCTATGTCAAAAACATGGACCACTTACCAGGACCAGCCGCAAAGGATCAAAACAGTCTTTTAGTATAGTGGAAGTTATTTTTTTTTATATTTTTAAGTTATAAGTGTGTTGATATTGATTTTCTTTTTATCTTTGAATCATAAAACCATTCAAAGAATTTTCCTGTCCTATTGTCTTTGGTCAAAGACTATCTAGCCACCTCAGCATCATCTTGTGCTGCTGAGAAAACATTTTCCTCAGCAGCCAATGTCTGCTACAGTGGCTGTGGAATTTAGAAGCCAGAGACAATTTAGAGGTGTGTGAGTGACTGAAGGCTCAAAAAATTGTCAAGAATAAAAACTTCCAGAAAGAATTTTGTTTTTATTTTTTATCTATCATCCTCACACTATTATACTTTAATGCTTGTACTCTCCAGAAAAAAATATTCAATATATAAATACTTTTTATCAATCATCTTCCTTTTATCTGATTTGTTTCTTCCAGTAATCACATCACTTTTCTCCTCCACTACCATCACTTGGTTAGCTTACTGTTAGCTGGAGTTACACTACATTTAGCATTAGAGCAGCTGAATTTCAGCCTCAGAGATATTATATACCACCTATATACTTTACAAAAGACTTAATTATAAACCCTTTGGACTTGAATATCCTCTAAATATAACCCATGTCCAATATAACCCCTTTTTTCCTACTCCATCGATGTTGAGTAAGAAATGCATTTATATTAATCCTCAAAGTTTAATATAATTGATTTCCATGCGTGCGCGCTTAAAAAATGCATATATTCATTCCTAACTCACCCAAAAGCCTCCATGTCTTCAAATACAAAAAAAATGCTGAAACATTTCAAATTCCTCTTGTACTGATTAAAATTATCACGGAGACTGAACCAAGGGGTATCCCAGCCTCTTTCAAGCTGATTCCAGTCCCACATTTTGAACTACAATCATCAAGAAACAGGACCTGTCACCAGGTACACCACTAGCATCCAAGGCCTTCCCTCCATTTTATTATTGCTAGTATCTAGTGTCAGGAATAAAATAACAATGGGTCTTTCTGGAAGTTTCTCTTTCTTTCTGATTTATCTAGAATTCTTATCCTTTATATCTTCATAGTAATCAACCTCAGTTCTTCTATTTTCTCCCAGTTCTTCATTTATTTTTTACCATTAAACAAAATCACATAGGTTTTCCTTTGAAGACCCTTAGCAATGCTATTTCGATTGAAAAATGGGACTTACATAGAGTCTATCTTTTCAGAACTTCCTCAGTTTCATTTGAGGAGGAGGTTTCATAGATTTTCTGCGCTTAACCCAGCTTCTAGCTGCGTAAAATTTTTTAACACTACCACCAATTATAAAAATAAAATCATCAAAATATCCTCCTTTATTATTTACCTCTTCTCCTCTGAAATTCTTTTGTTCTGGATTACATGTATCAGGCATAGGATCACACTGAAGATATTCTACAGGTTAGTGTAGCTGATATATCTGCTACACTACAGGATAGAGTAGCTGATATATCTGCTACACTACAGGTTAGCATAGCTTTTATGACCACAAACACCACTACAGCACCACTAAAGTAAAATCTGGTTAGTGTTAGTTGTAATTTGGGGGGCTCAATTAATGCTACACTTTTTTTTTCAAAATCCTGTAGTGCTAGTTGTCAGACATTGGCGCTTACAGTATCTGTAAGCGTAAAATAGCTTAATAAGCCAACACTATGGAGATCCTCCAGATTCTTTTCAAAAATTCTTAAATAGAAGACTCAACTAAGAAAATAATATGTAGAAATAGTTATATCTAATTTATAAGAATTATTAGAACTTGATACAAAAGGATGTAAGGAGGAATGAAAAAAATTCATGATTTGCAAAATTTAACACTGAATACATGCACTAAAGGGTTTAATCAAGGGGATACCCTCAGGTCACCCCCTGGGGAGTTACAATCAAAATACAAGTAAAATTTATCATGTAGATTTAGGTAGGGTTTCTTACTTGCTCCCAACCAATATTCCTACGTCTTACCATACTGCCAT